GCATTTAAAATACTAGCCGTTGGAGTTGTATGGTATCAAGGGGAGATGAGAAATGATCTGATTGAGGATGTCGATTCCAGTTATGGAAGGTCTTGGTGGACGTCTTTTGAAGGTAGAACGTAGTGCAATGAAATGATTTGACCGTTGGAAAGGAGCCTTGTGGTGACTTAATCCGAAAATAGAAAGTGTATCTCCTTTGATTAAATATGTTTCTCTTGGCTCCATGGTATAATATGAATGCTTGAGATATTCTAATTGAGCCGTAGACTTCATAGACATGATAACAAATTGACCAGAATGCTTCATCTCTTTAGTTTCCTTAAATAACACCAAAACTAGCCGTTGAGAATGCAAAGAGTTTGATTTGGTTTGGCTAGGGTCGAAGATGTCCTCATCAGTTCTCGTATGGTTTTGACCTCGGATTGCCTTGATATTTATGTTTGGTTTATGCTCTTTATAGATGTGTGTTTACTTTCTGGGGTTGGTGTCTTTACGCGCTGGATTGGTTTTCTACCTTGTATTTTACTGTGTAGCTTATTCTGAATTTCGATGTGTTTTAAATAAAATTTTCAGATGAAAAAAAAAAAAAATACTTGGTACTACAACTAAAACATGTGTAGTACAAGAAGATCTCATATTATCTTTTGTACTATTTCATTTCCTTTAGTGGGTTTTAAAGTTGGTAGTCTTTTTTCCACATCAGGTATAACTAACCTTCCTAAACCTTTTTTATTCTATTGCGAATACTATGGGAAATGCACTAAATGATAATGCTCTCGTTTCCTTTACGCTAACTCCTCCTTGGAATCTTTGCTTTTTGTGTTGCTATAAATAATCATCAAGACACCATTTCTTCTCATTCATCAAACAAACATCTCATTTATCTAATCCGGATCATCGATCTCAAAGCTTCTCGTCTCGGATCATCTAATTCTATAGCCATGTCTCAGGTAATTTTGACTCTGATCTTTGTGTTTATAAATCTTTTACTCTCCATTTCTTGCGTTTACCTCTGGTTATTGTCCATGAAACTATGAAACAAAGTTTTGGAGAGCCGTCTAAGTAAGTCGAGTAATCGGTTCGAAACGGCCATATAGTGATCATCGATTTTAAACCGATGGCTTATATTTGGATCGTTAAGGAGGAAAAAATGTATAGATTTGATTGGTCTACTTACTATATTGTTCAAAATATCCATTAAGGTCTTTTAGATTTTTTGGAACATTCATAAGAGAAAACGGTGACAATTAAGGTTGAATCCCAAAGTTAATTGATAATGACCAGTAACAAAATTATATTAAAAAAAAAGTAGTGATAAATTAGCTGATGATATATTTGGACCGGATTGGTCTGATCTGATCGATCCCTACATATATGCATGGTTCTAACCTTTTCAGAATAAAATTATCGAATAATTGTAGACTGTTGTTCTCAAAGTTGGTATGTCATGTCAAGGCTGTGTTGGGGCCGTCAATAGAGTCTTGGGCAAAATGGAAGGTAATTTTCTCAAATCTTTTTTTGTTGTTCATGTGTTTCAAATACTTTATATATCACTAATTTCATTTAGTAATATATACATATAGTCTTGTAATTCGTTGACTATAGAATTCATAAAATAATTTTCAGGAGTTGAGTCATTTGATATTGATATAAAGGAGCAAAAGGTGACAGTGAAAGGCAATGTTGAGCCTGAAGCAGTTTTTCAAACAGTTTCAAAGACTGGAAAGAAGACTGCTTACTGGCCTTCG